ATACCTGCCTGTTTTATATTGCGATGGACATGCTGTTCCTAATAATATAACCTATAATAGAGGAACACTTCATAGAAAATTGTTTTTAGAATCAAATACCTTTGAAGATGTTTGAAAACGGCTTATACAAAGGAAATCAATTTTTAACATTTTGCACTTAAGAAACCTCGTCTTCTTGCTAATGGGACAGAGCAAAAGATCAATGGTTGAGTGCAAGCAGTTTGTTTGGCGAAGCTAATTACTATCTTATAATCAATAAACGAAAATCTCTTGTTTAAGAACACGTCACGTTGGTACACAGATAGATATGTCACGTGGGTGGGAAGATTTTAAATACCTGTACATTTTGTGAGAATTTAGGATCAGGAGACTGTGTAGTGTCAATATTTCAAGTGAATTGTTTGTTGATGAAATATGTTGGAGGAGAGTGATCATATCAGGTCAAGTTAATAGAAAGGGACAAATAATCGATCTTTAAAACCGAGTGAAAACGAAAGAGCATCTATGAAAGTCCAACATGTCGAAACTTGAAGCACTTGAGGACTACAAAGATAGAACGCCATGTTAGATGCCATTGCTATAAGGTAAGAACAAAAAACTGAGAATACAATTCGCTAGGGATAAAAAATGATAGGATGCAACAGATCAGATACATTCAATGATGTAAGAAAATTGTAAAGCGCTAATTACTCTGTGTTTGATTTTTGTTTTAATAAACACTATTTAAAATCATGGTTAATTCACAGAATTTATATCAGTTACAAATTGGGCGCGTGGGAAAGTGGTTAGAACATTCGCTTTCCGAACATGAAATTTGGGTTTCAAACTCACCATAGTCTATTTGTCAGCAAGGTGAATTATAATGAGATTGGTTTAGCTAATAGGTAACTAGCATAAAGAGAGGTATACCTATAGTTCACGAGCAACTTTAAGACAGTATATGTAGGATATGTACTGCTACTAAGTTTGATCATCATGACAATGACCTTGTTTATTATCGATCTGATGAGACGATTCCAGCAATTTATTTCGTTTTACGGCTTATCAACACCGCACTGGGTTATTTAATTCCGAAAAGACTTTTAGGATAGATTCGTATAAATAGAATATGTATTCTTCGTAAGTAATCAGTTTGTAGGGGATCAGGTTTCATTGACATATTTTTGCAACGAGGAATTTCGCCGAGAATCAAATGTATTTCTGGTAATATTTTCTCAAAAATGATTGCTGCTAAAATTTTTCCCAAAAGTATATAGTGGTATTTTACTAAAAAATCTAGTTCATATAATTTCATAGTGATTTCAGTTTTGGGATTAACTATTTGCCCATAGGTGGTACCCTAGTAAGTGTTATCATCCTGGGTCAGAGTGGACCTGGGAACATTAGCAATTAAGACGTTGTTGCATGCTCGAAAACTCCCGATGAAAAGGCCTTGCTACCTGATGTTTTTTATCGTCATACCGTGAAACTTTGGAAAGTGACTGTAAACGATACCACGGATTAACCCAAGACTTGTTAGTTGAATTGGGTAGACAGAAGTGTTCGAACCCTGTCAACGGTTTTGCTAGCATGAAGTCACGAGTCATTGTAACCGAATGATTGAACATTGGTCTTGTTAAAACTGATGATCAGGATAGATGATAAAATTTCTCCAGGAAATTGTAACTTAGGTCCATTAAGCCTGATTGCAGTTTAAACCATATGTATACTCCTTGGGTGTTAAACAAATACAAAATGTTATCGAGCAAGCAACTCCAAGAGGTACTGGCGCTAGAAAACGCGTAGTCAAACATTATTCTTTATATCGGTTATGAGAGACAGAGACACGCATATGTTACAATCATCGGAGAGACTTCTTTCTGTTTTCTACCGGTATGGCTGATGCTAACCTCCATGGGAGTGATTCATTGCAGTTTCTCGGGTTAACATTTTCCGTTGACACGAAGTGGAAAGATTAAAATTAATGCTAAGTCTGCTGTTAGGAATGTTGGTTCACTGTATTGTGCAAGATAATTTTTTCTCGAGAACCTATCTGACATATTTATAATTTTACCGTTCGTCAGTGCGTTGGAAATTCCTTCCACATATGGTCGGTGCTCGTACTTACAGATTCTTGATAAAATCCAAAGAATAATCTTCAGTGTTATTGGTTCTGAACTGTCATCTCACCTTCAGTCACTTTCCAGCTACCATAATGTAAAGTCCTTGTATCTTTTCCATAAATACTTTCATAGTAATCGTTCTAATGAATTTCTCTATATGGTAGCTAGATTTTATGAATTTAAGCGCAGCACTAGATTTGCTTTAAGTTCTCATCCTTTTAGTTTTGAAATGGCTAGATTTAACCGTATGTTCTATGCTAACAGTTCCTTCTATTACACGTCTCGTTCGTGGAACTGTCTTCTTTTTGCAAAAATTTAAGTGTAATGTCAGTCATTATATTCTGTCTTAATTCTTGTTCTTTTATTATTATCGTTCATTAATTGTATATTTCTCATACTAATTACATACTGACCCCATTTGTTTTAGTAGCTTTATTATCTTGCTTGAGTTGAAATGGCTAAAAATACCCAGAAACAAATTCTGCTTAGCTTATTTCATATACCAATTCATTTTTAATATCCCTATTGCCTTCCATACATCCCAACTAGTTTCTTCTGTCTTCTCTTGTCTTCAGTATTTCTTGTGAGTGTTACATTCTCTAAACCCTCTTTTCTCAGTATGGGCCGCAAAAATGTTAGCTTTCTCTTTCTGAGTGTAAGGAAAAGTTTCTTCCTTATTCCTATATATATATATATATTAAAAAAGTCTTCATTGCTAACATTTGTTAAAGCCATAGTTTCATAGCATGCGTCCACAGAACGAAAACTCTTTTGCTTCAAATCTGTTCTTCATTTGGTAGGGAATTGTTCAGCCTTTTACTTTATATTTACATTTAGATTAGATATTGAATAATTGTTTTTTACTCTTCTAAGAGATAATTATATCAAGTACATAGTGTAAATAATGATAGCTGATGTAAATAGTTTAAATAACATCTCATTCCAGAAATTCAGACAGGAATTATATTGTAATCACTATTAAATTATAAAATTGCTTAATATGTTAAATTGTTCTTTTATTGCATTTTCTTCTTAATAGTATATTTTTCTCATATTCTCTGACACTCGGTAACTCCTTGCCTCTTAGTGGCTTTATTGCTTTGCTTGGGGTGAAATGATAAAAAATATTTAATACTCATATATGAATAGCATAGGCTCTTCTTTAGAAAGAAATTGTTCAGTATTCCATGTCAATTTAGAGATTAGATATTACATAGAAATTCTTTACGCTATTTATAGTATGAATATAAATAATGTGAATAATGATAATTGGTTTGGTTTGGTTTACAGCATATTAACCTCAATGGGTTATTTAATGCCGACAAAATTTTTATTTCTGGTAATATTTTTTTCCTTCAGAAATATATTCTGGCAATATTTTTTCCTTCAAAGAATCTATTTCTGTTAATATTTTTCTCGAAAATGTATAGCTGGTAACATTTTTTCAAAAATGTATTGCTGGCAATATATTTTTCAAAAATTCTTTACTGGTAATAACATATTGTTGGCAATAATTTTTTGATTAAAAAAATTATTG